AAAACGTTTAAATTCATTTATTTAACTGTTTTAAAAGGTTTTCATTTAAAACTGATTAAAAATTCAGTTCTACGTAAACAGCTTGTTACGTAGACACTGGAAATATTTTTTCAAATAGTATTGAATTTATATATACTTAGCAATTTACATTTCTAATTCTTTGAATGTAACTAACACAGAGATGCTTAAACTATTCTTTAAATGTATTTAATCCGCATTATCTCTTTGGATTTACCTCCATTGAAGTATAATGAGAATTCCATTCACCTGGGACTACAACCGCTACCATTTACCGGTAAAGTTTAAACATAAAGACAGTGATCACTTCTATTTATTTGGAGACAGCTCGATCGATGATAACACACCAGTACTGTATTTTAAAAAAGATTAATTTGAAGCTTTAAATCCTTTGACGAAGTTAATCTTGCGGAACATTCCAATATTGAAACTTAAGAAAGCGTTGGAATGTTGTGATTTACTGGATATGGAATAGAAGATAGTTTACTCAATACATATATATATATACACTTGTCTTATAAGTATGATATAGAGATATAGAATTTTTTGTCAGTTAGAAGAAAAAAGATTGGCATTCTATTAATGATATAAATACTTTTATTTTTATACTTTACAATTAATATTAAATTAATTATAAATGCTTTGCAAACAACGAAGTAACTGCAATTAAATGATCATGATCTGCAAAATATAAAACAATAAAAATTGTTTTCTTTCTTCAACAACAAATTAGGAAAGTAAATAATTTAACTTTTATTTTATTTTGTCTATCAGTTTGTGTTCGGTCTACGATATCTATAGTTCTTGTCTTAAGTATCTAGATAAGGTAGAGTACGGCACAGTAATAAACCACATTCTTGATATAAGAATGCACTGATTCGAAAAATCATTTATTTTATAACTGATGTATCACAAGAAACGCCATATAGCGAAAAAAAATGATATAAAGAATTTATTAATAGATAAAATTCTTAAAGTTAATAAACCATTTAGACTCTACAACTTCCTCTTTTACTATCTCCACATGCCATTGATTATAAGAAACAAGTATTGTAGAGAGAGAAAAGAAAACATTTATCGTATGACTGGAGTCCTTTGATTGACAAAATGATCAAGTTTCTTCCGTCTTCATTCTCCATCCTTAATAAATGTCATAAAAGCCGCCTCAAACACTTCCTAACCGTTTATCACTTCCAATTCTGTTAGTTTTTTTTTTCTTTCAATTTATATATAATATATACTATATAAGATAAAAATAACAGTCGAAGTTCTTTTGTTATCACTGCAAGAATCACTTACTGAGTTAAAATTTAATATCTTCTTCCGCTATTCTAAATAACAGTACATGTCCTACCTACTTAAAAAAAATTTTTTTCGATAAAACTACTTAAATTAATACATTTTTGCATAACATTAAGTAATAACTATAACAACTATTTTATATTAGACGTGATTTGAAAGTCAATGCTGAAATATTTTATTGCAAAAAATTTAAATAATAAATACTTTATATACAATGTGTAAGCTAAGCTATAATCGACATAGTGTATGAAATGCTAAACAGTAGGAAAACTTCAAAAGTCTGAAATCATCCATAATTTAATTAATTTATAAATAGAATATGTATTTTTCTGCGTGCAAAGTGCATATAAAAGAATAAAATATTTTAATAGACACATACAGAATAATTAAATAAATACATAATGTTTCGAAAATTCATAAAATTTAATTCTTTCTTTTCGGATATTTCTAAAATTTCTAAAAAAAAAAAAAATATTAATATTGTTATTCTATAATAAAACAATTGTATACTTAGATTTTGTGTACTTCAAAAAATACAAATCACAGGATGCTTCTAATGATGGTTATATATATTTATGAAATATAAGCAAATACTTATAGCTCTGGCCATGCATTTAGAAAGTTTCTCTGGTATAACTCTTCTTATTGGAGATTTCTAGTCACGCCTTCGCTTTCTATTGTTAGAACTAATATAGAGTTATTGATGTCTGTGTCACATTTCCCGAATTCAGGCAATCCATAAAGAAAATCTTTTTATACAAGTCTTTGACTCTGAAAAACAATAAATGATAAATTCAAAAATAAGTTATATTTGTAATCATTTCATTCGCAATACATCTACATTCTAATAAATAGTTGGCATGATTTTCTGCTAAATTAATAGATGCTTCATAAACTGAGTATGTATATAAATAATATAATTTATTATACTAAATTAAAGCTGCCTTAAAATTTGCTGAAAAAAAATATAAATATTTATTCATTTCTGACAAATTTTTGAACAATTTAATTTTTTAAAATGAAGGCGAAAATGCTATTTTCCAACAGCTTTCCAGAAATTCTATTGTAAAATTTTGTACAGTGTTTTTTGAGTAAACAAATATGATTTATGGGAAGAATAAATAAATAATAATTATAAATCGTCAATGCTTTAATTAAATTTTAATTACAAAAATATGGATAATTTGTTTAATTTTCTTAAATCTAAAGAATAGAAACATTTTAAATATATTTATTATACAATGTTTATCTAAAAGCTATAATCAAAGTTTCTCCATTTTTAAATTATACTTTCGAAACAGAAATGAGTGGTTTAGTTTTATACATTGATTTAGCAATCATACCAATTCAATAATAGAATTTATAGTGAAAAATTTTGTAAAAGTTTGCAAATATTTAATATGAACTTTTAATTTAATAAAATCTACTTCATTTATAATTTCATCCAGGACTAGAGTAATCTTGAATGTCGAGTGATATCAAATTCTTCGTGCAAAACACCTTTTCAAAGATTTTAAATTTATTTTTAGCTAACAAGAATGTTAAATATGCTTTACTTCAAGTAGATAATTCCGTTTAGAAGATAATTATCAAAACAGAATGATATTTTTCACTATTATAGAATTAAAATTCTACAAAATCTTTTTGTGGGCATCACTAACCTTTAAAAAACCTTAATTATTTAATACAATGTCGTCTATAATACGATTAATTAATGGAAATAAACTCAGTCATTTCATCTAAAAATATTTTCCATTCCTTCCTTACTTTATCTTACGTTAAAGTTACTACGTAATCTAATCGCTGAAATGGATGTTGCTATACATGTGAACGGTATTTGATCATACTCATTTCATTGATTCTTGACATATTGAATAAGTTTAAAGACAAACATCTGCTCACGACAGGTCTCCACGTGTATTTCCTTACGTAAGGATTACCAAACTGAATATTTTCATTCATGTAGTTTTCATTCTTTCGATATTGAAAGCAATGTATATACTTTCTGACATACATTTAGAGTCAACGTCAATGATTTCTAGTTGACAAGTTATAACTTTCATATCGTTTTCATTGCAAAGAATAGCATAAATACATGTCGTCATATTCAAGTCTTACAAAGTTACTAGATATTGGTGTTATTACATAAGTTTAGATTAAATGTATTTATTAAGTTTTCTAAACTTTATAAAGTTTATTTTTTAAAATAGTACCGAAAATTGCTGCAGGAAAAAAAAATTTATATTCTGTTTTTTTCATGCGAACTGATATTGATCCAATCCGTGCATCCCAAGCGATCTACTTTAACTAAAATATAACGGTAGCTCTTTCTATTCTTATCAAGAAATCCCAATGAATAATAGAATCAGTTTCGAAACTGAGAGACAGAACAATACAACTTCTCCAATAAATTAGATCAGATATATTTTCGGATAAAATTTTCTTGATGTAACGTTTTGAACTAACCTGTAAGAAAAATTGGCGCTCCGAGAATCTGAAAAAAAAAAGGTTTCCTTTATAAAATTAAAATCCGATATTAGAAGAATGTCGAAATATTCTTTTGATTAATATGTAAATACATTAAGCTTATTAAGTTGTTAAAAGATCTAAAGAATGAAAATCAATAGATACTTTAAATATTTAAATATTGAAAATAAATAATTCAGCAGGGAAAAAAATATACTCAATGTTTTATTGCGCGTTTTATATTATATTAATTAAATTTACATTATTAATTACAAAAGCAATAGGAAGATAGCAAAAATCTTCATCTTCATTAGGATTTATATAAATTTTAAATCGAAAAATTAATTAAAATTACCATTTTTACTTTCTTCGAGGAAATCGGCGACGTCTGGCTTCTAGCTTGAGTATTTTTACTACTTTAAATACATATCCAAAAAGTATATTTATATATAAATATCCTTTTTTACAATTTTCTCGTTGGATGTTGCAAAGACATTAAGATGACTTTCGAATTCCCCGAAGTCACCTTAATGATTTCGATTAGGTTGCAAAGTCATTCGAGATGACTCTCGAATTATTTAAGCCGACGTTTTAGCCGTCGTTAGAATATTTATTTTACGAATTAATACGCTTTTAAATAAAAATCAAAGAATATTTAATGCTATTTGATATTTTCTTTTTAAAAAAATATGGTATTTTGTTGTTTATTAACATGAAAATAAGGATTACAATAATTTTTTTTTTTAACTCTTTCCGCACTGTGGGCACTAAGAGGGACTCTTTTAGCAAGCCCATTATGGGTTTGGCCAGGCCCACAATGGGGTGAGAGGGACGGGCCCGATTTATCCGGACGGACCACACCCCGAAAAACTCCTGGAGCTTTTTCGACCCGTCCAGAGGTGAGTCCGGGTCCCCAGAGCGGTAGGCTGCCACCTTGACCGCTCGGCCATCCGGCCGCATATTTAGGATTTAATTATTTCAGTCGAAGCGGTAGGCTGCCACCTTGACCGCTCGGCCATCCGGCTACCGGATAACAATAATAAAATTATATATTCACTGAAGAAAATTATATTATTCCATTAATATCTACTGCTTTTTTTCTTACTAAACTTATGAGCGTGAAATTTTAACACGTGGGACATCATAAATTAATTAATTATTTTCAGAAATTTTTGTTTTACATTAATTAATAACTAATTTTTAAAATAAAGACTAGAGCAGGCGAATTTTTAACACCAGAGGGTGTCGTAGGAATTGCGCGGCAAAATAGAGTAGGGAGGCATGCAAACAAAGTGATTACTGTATCTCCTCGTATTTAAGTAAGGTAAGCTGTTAATTTATATCGTATTGAACACCAACGTTACTAGTAGTATTTGGTTGGCTAAATATATTTTTGTAATTATAGAAGGAAAAGAAAAATGAAGTGTTACATTCCTCAGATATCTTGGCATAACCGAGATCCCGTTCTTAGCATAGATTTTCAGATGTGTCAAGATGAAATTCGTCGATTGGCAACTGCAGGAACGGATGCACATATACTCGTAAGTTAAATGTATTGGTGGATTGTAAGCCGAGTTTTATTTATTTGTAAACTGAAGGGGAAAATTTTATTTGAATTTTTCCCAAAGAATGCTGTGATAAATTCTTAAGTTTAGCTGTCATATATTCAATAAAAAATTTAAATCAAAAAACGACATTCAGTCATTTTGAATCGATTAGAACTAACATGATGAAATAGTCTATGTATGTAAGAGTTCAATAGCGTGAAAATATAATACAACTAAAAAGTTAAATTTTTCTTCAATAATATCTTGAACAGTAATTGATTAATATTTACTATAATTTTATCAAATTAATTATCTCCATATATTATATTGATAACAAATAAAATTGTATTTTCTTTTTTTCTTTCTAGATATGGTTTGTTACTTTAAACTCAAATGGAAGTACAAGCCTTGAATTTGCAGCTGATTTGTTTCGTCACACTAAAGCAGTTAATATTGTTAGGTTTTCTCCAAATGGTAATTCTTTATTTAAAATAAAATTAATAGCTACAACATTTAATAGTATAAATGTTATACTGTAGATCAGGGATGGGCAACCTGTGGCCCACATTAATATTTTTTGCAACCCTTGTTGCATAAAATATGATTAAATATATCAATTTCCCAGCTTAAAAAAGTATGCAGCAAAAATTCAAACATTATTTTCTACAACTTATGTATGTGAATAGTTTTTCCCCGCAATGAATTTAGTAAAAATTAAAACAAGAAACCAGCTAACAGACAAGTCAAAACTAATTTAAAGCTAGCAGTGACTAATATTTAACCAAATAATTTCTGATATATTATGTTTACATCAGTTCCAGAAGCTAAATTCAGTATTCCTATGCTAATTTATAATTACAGTTGACCCCCCCTATAAGATATAGATACGTTCCATTCTTTAGGAATCCGATTTCTTACGAGTCGTTCCAATCACAGCCCGACACGTGTCAAGTTTACGGACTACGGCTGATTGAAAGGTTTTCTTCCATAAAATTAATCGATTCTAGACTAATCCGACTCAACATTTCCAAAATACGTATATATTTTTTGGGAATAATCCGTATAAACTACGCTATAAACAAAAAATTGTAGGATTACTTACCGAGTGTCACCATTCGACATTGCCATTGCTCAACATTGTTTTCGTCGCGGAACAGCTCAGCAAAGAGCGGCCGATTTCTAACAACTTATTTTTCTGTGAAAACTTCGTAGAACTTCGGAGACATCATTAATATAAATAATTTTAATCGCCGTTGAATAAGAAATGTTTCTTTCACAAGAAATGTATAAAATTACAGTACTGTATTAGACTTACGGTACCTAATTTACATACTGACAGACGATAGTTAGCGTAAAAATCTCCGTAGCGTGGCGCCACGCTAGACGGCGGAAATTATATATTTAATTATAACAAAGTTACAATAAATTAATATATAATTATATGTACAGTACCTAATTTATATATAATTTATATAATACTGTCCAGACGATAGAAATCTCTCCATAGCGTGGCGCTATGGACGGCAGGAAAGTAGTTCAGCTGCCTGATGACGTTTGAGATAATTATAGGGGGTTTTTACTGTTTTTTTACGGATACCGGTCACAATTTTTTCGTAGTTTTATAGGAGTCGTAATTATAGGGGGGTCGACTGTATATATGAATAAATAAATGTAATTTACTAGCATTTTTCTTCTCTTTTCTCTGTTATTTGGCCCGCATCATTTCAAAAGTTTCAAAATGAAGCCCTTACATAGAAAAAGGTTGCCATCCCTGCTGTAGATGACATGAAAAGTTGACTAATACAGGACACACTAACAGAAAAAATTATACTTTAGCAATTTGACAAATTAGTTGTGAAAAATGTTAATCACTGTAAGCTAACAGTAAACACTAGATTAATTAACTACTACAGATATAAATAACCATCTGTATCTATATTATTTACTAACAGCGCACTGATCATGTAAAATGACATAATTAATTTCTTTCTGATGAGAGGACAATGCCTGTATACAGAAAACAGGAGGGGTGGTCATTAACATTGTCTACCAGTAGATAGGCATTTGAATTTCTAGCAGAAAAATGTCACTTCACGCCCAATGAAAAACTGGGAAGTCCTTTTACAATTTGACAAATGTATGCATGGTTTTGTTAGTCATGTGAAGAGTTTTGTAATTATTTGCTGTTTGTCTTATTTTTTTTATTAATCTTAATAGCTACTTTTGAATTTGCTATGAATTTGAAGGACTTATCGTACCAGAGTTTTCAATAGGAAAATTTACTGAGATTTTGTTGAAGTAATATGTACATTTTGGGCCTATTATTACTCTTTGTAAATTTTATGGATTAAAATATTGTATATTTTATTAAAATTGAATTGCAATTTAAAGCTTTAACTATAATAAACTGTTTTACATAAATAACTATAATAAACTGTTTAAAAATAAACTTATAGGTTTGATGAAATTTTCTAATAAAAATAATTAAACTCTACACTTTTATAGAATACAAATGTAATATTACTGAAATGAGTAAAAATAGATGCTGGGAACAGAGATGCTTCCTACTTCCCATTTTTACTAGCAAATTTTTTACAAAGAAATTTGTAATACTAAATTCATGATGGTATTAAAGAATGTCATTCTTAATGCAAGTATTCAGGTATAGAGCTGTATTATATTTAAAATTAAATAAATTTGCTTATTTGAACTTACTAAACATTGTTGACATTTTATATATTCAGTTTTTAGATTTTTTATTGTAAGATATTTTCTGTGATTCAATTAATAGTTTGATCTATTGTATGACTTGTTATAAAATATATAGGCTATATCTGAGAGTTAATGAATTGATATTTTATTATATTTAGTGAATGGCATTAAAATGTTTATTTACAAAAGTACATTTATTCAGAATTTGTAAAAGAATATTGTATTTAAAATATTGTGTTTAATTTAGAATTATGACCAAAGTGGAAATCAGAAAATAACTTTTCCTATTTCATTTCTTCTGGTGTAATTATAATGTAAATTGTGAATAATAAGTATAGTATAATATATACAGGATGTTGGAAAAATTGTTCTTGGAAATTGGGTGATAGAACTTGTTTAAATAAGCAAAAAAGTAAGGTAACATATTTGAAAATTTGCAATACTTACTCAAATATTCAAAGTTAGTTTTGCCAAATGACACTAAAATGGGCCACCATTACAGATCTGCCAACTGTTCATCTAAAACTGAAAATAAAAGGACAGATTGAAAAGCAATCACAAAGAGCTTGTTGTCACTGTTAATTTTTTCCTCTAAACTGGCAAGATTGTGATTCTAAAACAACCTGTAGACATCTTTCTACTGAAAGTTTTGTTCAAAATAAAGGGAAAATTATTGCATTTTCTCTTCTTTTAAAATGCTATTCAGTTGAATAAATGTTTGTCTTTAAAATGATAGTTTAATGATAAACATTTATTAAACTGAACAATGATAACTAATAGCATAGTTCTTGAAAAAAGTGGATTCGAATTTGCAACTTTAGTTTTGAATATTTTGGTAACTTTTTGAAAATTTGCAAATATGTTACTCTACATTTTTTGCTTACCTCAACAAGTTCTATCACTCATTTCCAGGAAGAACATGCTTTTGCAGCACCCTGTATATATGCATGGTCAGTTTCTCTAATTGCTATATCACTTCAGATATTTTATATACTAGTACATTTGCTTTAAAAATTTATACTATTCATTGTATTTTGATACTAAAGCCAATGATTAGTTTCCAATAAAATACCATAGAAAATGTTTCAAAAATTTAAGATATATTTAAACTTGAAGATATACACGTAGTACGATCCAAAAGTTTGGGGACTTGGCGTAAAATTCCTTACCTTAAAAGGTTTGAAGGAGGTTGTGCATCAGCAATATAAAGTAATTGCCTTGTGCAACGATACACTTTTGCCAGTGCTCGTATAACCTCTGCAAGCACTGCTGGAAGCCATTTTTTGAAACCTCCCATAAGGCCTCCTGCGATGCTGCTCTCACCTCATCTGACGACACAAAATGGCGTCCCTGCAAATGCTTTTTCATTGATGGAAACAAATAAAAATCACACGGGGCTAAGTTAGGTGAATAGGCAGTGTGTAGAAGCACATGAATTTGAGTTTGGCAAGAAACTGTGTGTCCATTTGGGACTAGTCTGCTCTTTGCCAGATCTGCGGCTGTTTATGACAAATATATTCCTTCAAACAACGTAAAATGTCTAAATAATGCTTCTTGTTTACTATTCTGCCTTCGGGAATAAATTCTGAATGAACAATTCCTTGAGAATCAAAAAATACCTCCATCGTGACTTTCCCTTTGCTCTGATCCTGCCGGAATTTCTTCGATCATGGTGAGGAGGGTGATTACCTTGTTGAAGAAGCATGTTTTGATTGGATATCAAATAAATAACACTATGTTTCATCACCTGTTATGATGTGGTTCAAAAAAGCTGGATCCTTATCAGCTTTGTCAATTAAATCATTCAATATTCTTATTTGTTCTTCCTTTTGTTCAGAAGTCAAAAGCCAAGGGAGAACTTGGTGCATGTTAAGATCTTTCATTAAAATGCTACGCTGGCACCTAGTCTTTGAGTGAGTAGCCGCAGCAATTTTTTTAAGGGTTTGGCAGTGATCTTTGCTAACACATTGAGAGACCAACTCAACATTTTACTCATTCCGTGAAGTCAAAAGTCAACCAGAGCATTCATCATCTGCAATGGATTCTTGGCCCTCTTTAAACACCAATGCCATTCATACACCTTCAGTTTTGCCGTGGTAGAATCACTGTACACCTTTCTTAGCAATTTTAAAGTCTTTGTAGGTGTTTTACCTAAACACTGACAAAATTTAATGTTGCAGCGCTGTTCTGTTCTTGAAACTCCAATTTTATTATGTCACAAAACAAAGAAAACTATCTCCGAAAGAAAACAGCTGTGCTCGCAGTTTAATCATGTGATGTGGGCAAAACCAAGCTGAATACATAGGGGTGGTTTGGTAGAATCCATTTCATATACTGTAACTTCAAATACATGCTTTTGTTGTCATAGATTACTGCAGTCCCCAAACTTTTGGATCATACCACTCATATAGAGGTGTATAAAAATGTCTTAGCAATGAGGTTTTTTTTTTATTTGGCTGCAATTTCAAAAAATTGTAGACCTATAAATTCCCACTGTCGTCCATCAGTCTTTCCTTAATCTTGAGAATGGAGTGAGTTAGATGAAATCTGAGACCAGGTAAGGAAATCTTAGGGGCAGGAGGCCCTTGATTAACTGTGTATGAACTTCTGATGCAAACTGGAAGTTGTTGTTTCAATTCAAAACATCCCCTGAAAGCAGTTACTAGATGACTGGCATGACTCTGTTGTAAAGGAAAAGAATGATGCACAGGGGCAAGACACTATACTACTATTGATAATTTGAGGTTGAGAGCATATACTTTAAATTAAATAAATTAAAAATATGATTAACAAGTGCAGCATGGCATATTATGATGTCACAATAAATAGTTGCTTGTAATTTATGTTAAAAATATATATGTAAATACAGCAATATCTAAAAAGAACTCTTTTTGTATGAAGTCAAAAATATATAGCCTGCTTCAATATGATTTAATTGCTGGTAATGTTGATAATATAATTTACAGTATGAAATTGCCCAAACGTACTCTGATTTGAAGACAGACCAAAAAGGAAAATCATTTTAATACATTAAGCATTTATAATTTAAATAGCCCAATAATTATTTGAAAGAAATAATTTTAATAAATTTTAAATTTTTTCACTATAATAACTATGTATAAAAAATCTAATGCTCACACTTTTATTAAAAAAAAATTATTCAGTTAATTTTAAATTATAGTTTCTGTTTATAAGTTTTCTTTTAAATTATCTGACTGATAATTTCTTACAGATCATTTGTGTATCTTTATATTAAAAAACAGAATTTTTAATATTGTAATTAATAGCTAGTGTGTGATATTATTATACATTTATATATATACAGTTTATAATATGAGCAATATACATAAAAGTCTTAATATATATATATATATAGGTGAATTACTTGCATCTGGAGATGATGGTAAGTTATCTAAATATATTATCTATTTATAAATGAAATGCATTTAAAATGAGTTTAAATGTTTTTATTATAAAATCAGAAGCCAATATAATATTGTGGAAACAACAAAAAGATGACAGTTTCAGTTATATAGAAGAAACTAATCAAGATAAAGAACATTGGACAGCACTGAAAATTTTAAGGTAATTTTTATTAAAAAGTCGCAAGTATTCCCAATGATTGTAATATTTTAATTTTTTACAGTACACTAAAACAAATGTTTTGTAATTAAAAATAATTATGAGAACATAAAACAAAAATATCAAGATAGTATAGTTACATTTTAATATAGTCATATTTATGTTAAAGTTATTTAGAACAGCAATATTTTATCAACAATATAGTGTCCATTTTCACATCATACTATTTTATGAATCATTTATAAGAACATTAACATGTCTAAGAAACATGTTTCCTTATTTGAAATTGGACTATTGTTAGTTATTGGAATAATTTTGCATTTAGTAAATTATGAAGGTATATTTTCCAATCTTTATACAGGGATATTGTCAGAAATTTGAGTGTGGGTCACATACATAGCTCTGTTGGGCCCTGTTCCTCACTGAGCCACTCTGTTGTGGGTCTGGATGAATACCTAGTGGGCTTGATTTTTAAAAGACTCCCTTACTGTCTATTGGGCATAAAGACTCCAAAAAGAATCTCACGTGGCTTATGGCTTGCACATAGGTAGATAGACTACCATAAAAATGCAATAGCCTATGACCACTATCAACACATTAGTGTGCAAAAAACTGCCATACTGAGATTACAGTCTTTTGCATGTCACATGCAAGCTCATATGCAAACCTGTCATACACATAACAATGTTGAATAAAACAAAGACTGAACAAGAACAATAGTAAATTTGATTCTTCTTTATGTCAGGGCTGTTTGTGTAACCTAGTATTTGAGTCTGATCTGCTTTTTCTGTTTCAGTGATCAGCTGCTTGTGACATTTTTTTTTTATTTTACTTACTTTTAAACACTAGTTGGTTGGCAATTACGGGCAGCAGAGTGAGGGATGGAAGAGCATTTGTGCACTGTATGGCTACATTCCTGTGTTGATTTATCAGTGATGAATCAGATGTGTTTTAAGTCAAATTAACTTGCTGTTATTAATGATTAGAATTCAAATCTAATAAAAGTTTTATATTTTCTCATGAAGTATTTGGATTGGAATTTTCAATTTTCCACCTACATCCATGTAGATCTAATCTGACTGTATGGTTGAAAATTGAACACAATTGTATATCATAATACTTGTTGCTGTTATCAAATTATGGTAAGATCATTAATAATTAGTATTTGAAGTAGGAATATAGAAGTAGTGTAAAACACTAGTTCTATATTTCAAACTAGTATTTTTAAATTTTCTAAAGGATCTTTTTACCTTCAGCTTTAACTTACAAATTTAACATGTATCTTATTTCCAGCAAACTAACAAAATTATCAGAACACACACAAAATTTAAGTAGATACACATTCTTTCCAATGAAGCTATTAACATTTTTATGTGAATATACATAAAATTATTTTAAAATGTCTAAATAAATACTTTTTTAAAAAATAATATGAAATAACCATATGCGTACATTTAAAAAGTATCTAAAATACTTTTACATTTGAAATTATAAATTATTGTTTATTTAAACAGTATCTTGTATGTATTTGATAGATAGATAGATACTCTTGGTCACACCTGTTAAGACACTTTGATACATTTTGTTTATATATTTCCACATTATGCATTGACTTCCGACTAACCTACTAATTTTTGATTCCAGTAGATTTTATTATCTTATGTTGCAAATCTAGATAATGCTACATTTATTGTTTTTATGCAACATCTTTGTTTTTTTTTTTTTTTTAACTTTTCATTAAAATGTTCTCTGTGCATATCTAGAACTGTTCCCATGTGGTCTTTTGTGGGAATGTTGTATACTCCTGAAATTCTAGTTATTTCTTATGAGTGTTTTTATTATATATTGCAGCAGTACATTTGTATACAATGCTAAAACTTCTTAACTTTGCTGTTTTGGTTATGTATTTGTAAGCTTTTTATTATGTGTAATCACTTTTCATTGTTTTATCATTAGGTCTTGTCCTTAGTTTTAAGTCTTGGTTAATAAGGTGGTTGTCTATAATTTATAGTTGTAAACAATGGATTTAAGAAAAACATTTGATGTATCTTAATTCTTTTACTGTGTCTTGCATATATGTATAATGTGTAAATACACTTTTTATGAGAGCTGTGAAGAGAGCAGTCTTGTATGTCCTGTGATCATCTCAGATTGAGATTTATATAATGAATGAAATGTTTGTTTTTTAAACATATTAGTGCACACTTTTTCATTCTTTTGAGATACTTACAAATGAGGAGTTTGGGAAGGTAAGTTCTCCTTATTCATTCACAGTACTTTCTGGCAAAATTTTTCACATACTTCATGGATGGAAGTTGTCATAAAAGCATGTTGTGTTTCTATACCATGTATGTTGCAATCATATTTATTGTTTGTGCTACTGTTAAAACATCTATCATTTAGAAAAGTGTGTTTTCTGTTTTTAATTGTGCAGGGTAGCTAGCACCTGATAGCACATCATTAGATGCAGATAACTGTGTAACAGTGCATGAATTTTTATAATGTGCTTAAGCATCGACACAAAAACCTTTATAATGCAGTCTTTAATTCAAATTTTCTAACGTTTTCAGCCATTTTGAAAGGCCTTCATCAGGAACATAAAAATCAAATGATTCTTATTTTTAAACCAAAATTTGTTCTGGAACATTATAAAATTTTTTAATTTTCTTATATGCACTGACTTGTATATAAATAAAATACCATCTATAATGGTATTCTGGTAGATACCACACTGTCTAGCTAGTTCATTGATGTGATCTAATTGTTTAATTCTGTCTTGCGGTTTGCTGCAGTGTGTGTACACTCTATAAGTACCTGGAATGCTGCTATTTTATAATATGCCAGGTTGTGGGAGTTCCATGGTATAAACAGTGGATTATATGTCGCCTTTCTGTAAACTTTTGTTGCAATTTTTCCTCCTTTCTCTATTTCTATTGCTTTGTCTAGAAAATGCATACTTTTGTTATTCACTTGCTCTAGTTTGAGTTCCTAGGCCAAACTTGTTGAAATTGACATCTCTGATAAATTGTTGATGTCTGGTTTTTCTTTCCATATAATCAATACGTCGTCAACACAGCCTGCATATGTATACTACCATGTGTGCTGCATATTTTGGTAAGATTGTTTTTTGTAAAGTCCTTAGGACCATCTCACATAATGCCCCTGCAATGGGGCTTTCCATTGCCACTCCTATATGTTGTGTGTATATAATTCCATTAAGTTAAAGATCGATGAATATAGTGTGCTTCTGGTTATGGAGATCTCAATTTTTTTGGAGATTTGTCACATTGTTCTGGAGTTTAATTATGAAATTTTTCTCAACTGCCTAAAGAAGTAAACGTCACATGGTAGACATAGTGATATACATTTGGAACTTTTACATTCTAATTAGGCCTATAATTTGCATCCACAGAAAAATAGTCATAATTGCTCTTATCTGCCAATTTCGTGAATTGTAAGTAGAAGACAATGTAAGAAAATGATTTGACTAAATATAGTGATAGTTCAAAAATTATGTGTGAAAGTTATGTGTGATATAGTTAAAGTTTATGGTGAGAAATAAAAGGTAACCAAATTAAAAAAAAAAAAAGAAAAAAAATTTCAGTGGCCATGAAACATGAGTATAGAGTCCATGAATGAGTGCTCTACCTCCTGTGATTACAACTAACACTTACCAACTAGGAAACATTTGAAGTATTTCAAGTTTTAGTTGAAGTCAGAAAAATGCTCATTTTTCTTAATTCAAATTGATAGTCACAAAAACTTTTTAGACACATTATACATACATGAAAATTATTTGTTGAGTATCTACAGATTTTCTAGATTTGAAAGCTATTTATCATCATAATATAAAATTATGAATAAAAGATAATTTTAGGTTATAGTGAATAGTGGAACCTATGGCTTTACAGGGGATATTTTTTAGCACCCAAAATAATTTCCCAAAGCTCATTGAAATCCTTGAAATATTATTTTTCAGCTTCCTTGTCAGAAGAAAACAGAGTTAGAGTGGAAACTTCTTGAATGTCCAGCTCTGATTTAGCCCCACATGCATTTTTCACTTGTTTGGGTTAATACATTAACATCTTGGAGGTAAATATATCTCAAGTGATGAAGTTGAATGTGATGTGTGCACTTGTGGCTGGACAGCATATCCAAGACTTTTATGCTGGGATTGAGGCTTTGATAAAACAATGGAATACATGCATTAATAAATGTGGGATTATTTTGAGAAATGAAGAAATTTTGGAAATTATTTATTATTTAAATCTTATGGAATTATGGAAATTATTTATTATTTAATTCTTTTTAAAAGTCATTTGTGACTTTCCTTTGTACTTTAATATGAGATATTCATCTATTATCTCCAAACAACTGAGATTAAATTATTTTACATTTAGCATGCTGAAGTCAGTTTTAGCATATATCTAATTTTAAAACAAATTATTTTTTTAATTATAGAGGACATCTTGATGATGTCTGTGATCTGAGTTGGTCAGCTAACAGTAACTTTTTGATATCAGGCTCTGTTGATAATACTGCCATTCTTTGGGATGTTCAGAAAGGTATGAATGCATTTTGTTTTAGAAAATAATTTAAAGTACTAATTATAAATTAACATATATATAAGCGTCTCAATAACTCGATGTATTATTGATCATCCAACAATTAGCCAAATTAATGTGGCAATATTATGCTACAATTAATAATTAGAATAATAATTCTAATTATTGCCTGATTAATTTGGCTGATTGTTGGATGCTTATAAATTAACCTTTTTACCTTATAATTAGATTTATAATTAAGATTAATTGTATAATTTTGTTTTCTTAGGTAAAAACGTTGGGCTGTTGACAGATCCTAAAGGTTTTGTACAGGGAGTTACGTGGGATCCTGTTCATCAATACATTGCTACAATAAGTTCTGATAGGTAAACATGATATTTTCTGAAATGTGGAATTGTTTTAAAAACAAAAATGTTATTAAAATTAAATAAATGAATATTTATTAAATTGAAATATTAATTTATAAAGTATACTAAATAATAAGTGAAATTACTATTTTAAAAAAAAATTACTAAGTTAATCATTGACAAAATTTTGAAATTTAGTTATAGTTGATATACAGTTGTGACTGAGAAATACAGATGTTTGGTGTTCATTATTATTAATACCTTTTATTATTATATGATATTCCTTATTTTTTATTTAATTTATGCATAAAAATATTTTTTCCTACATGTATTTTCCATAATACCAGTTTACAAACTCACTGATATCTGAAATTTTTTATGAAATGAAATAAATTTTTTCTGTTTTATATTTGAGAGTTATATTTGAGATTACTCTCAAATATAAAACAGAAAAAATTTGTCCACATAGATCTTCTGTGATTTTAAATTGGGATGAAGTCACCATCTAAGGTTTTGTATACACATTACATTAGTGTCACTAGAAAGTGAAACTCCTCACAACTTTTTATGCTTACTTTACAGATATTTGATGTGTGCCTCACATGTCTTGTGGCAGACATGAAGAGGATATTCACCACTTGCACCAAATGTGTAGCATATCCACTATGATGGACTCAATACATAGCAGTAATGCATTATTGCAACTGTTGCAGATTTTCAGGCAATAAGAATGTGTACCAGTACACTCATATCTTTGATGTAATCTCAAAAGAAGTTGCCGACAGTGAGATCGGTGACCTGGGAGGCCATATCCAGAAGGCATTGTTGGTTAGATCAAGTACACACAATAAATAGGTTTGACAGTTGTGCATTCAGATGTTTTTGAACATAGAGATACCATTGTGATGATGATCCATCTTGCTATAATAGGTATTTATCACCCTTCTCATCCAGTTATAGAAACAGCCTCAGAGTCATGCATGTCCAGATAATGAGTCAATAGTGGTACCATCCCAAAAGAAAAATGGTTCATACACTTTCTTCTTCAATAGGGTGCAAAAAATATTGACTTTTGGGGTGTTGTATTTAACTTCCATAACAACATGAATCTTCACTATAAATCCTGACATTGTTCTTGTCAATTTTCCATTGATGTAGAAGGTTGTCTTGTCACTAGATTAGATGTAACTAGATTAGTATATGCCTGTATTTGTAATCATTAACTAGAAATTATAAATAAATATTCTTTTTTTAATTATAAAAATTGGCTTAAATTTTATATTTTACATACTTTTTCACATAGATCTGCAACAAATCCTGATTCTCTGATGAATTATAAACAATACAAAATCAAAAAAAAATTTTTTGATTTTGTTTAATATACTGTATAGTGATTTAAATTAATAATTGAATTTTTAACCGCATGATAAACAATTTTTTCATAATTTTTTTATATCTGGAATTTGGTTTATTACAACAGAAATTGAATCATTTCTGTAATGTTATCCAGTGGAGATATATCTTCAGCATCATTCTCAGATGCAAGTTATTGTTTGTTAACTGAACTTGAAGCTTTTATCTTATAGTATTATATAAAATATTAATCAAATAAAAAATTATAGTTTAATATAATATGATTTTGTGAATAAATTATATGTACAGTTTATAAAATTATGTAAAATATGACAGTATAATATTAAATTTTATTTAAAAATAAAATTTATTTTCTGTAGGGCAATGCGTATTTATAATCTGAATAATAAGCGTGTAATGTATAAAGTTCAGAAGACTGTAATTCCCTCTGAGAAGAATAAGGTAAAAATAGTCTATTATAAAAAAAAGTTAATAATAATATAAATCAATATTATATTACATTGATTTTAGGGATCAAATAAATCAACACGAATGTTCTATGATGACACATTGAAATCATTTTGTAGGCGTCTTACTTTTTCTCCAGATGGGGAATTACTAATTGTACCTTCAGGTATAGTTGAGCAAGATGATGGAAAATTTATTAACACCACTTATGTATTTTCACGTCTTTCGTTGAACAAGTAATAATTATTTTTTATTGTAAATTATTAATAAAATTTTTTATTAATCTGAAATAATGAATAATTGTCTCAGACCTGTTATGCATCTTCCGACTGGTGATAAGTATACCGTTGCTGTTCGTTGTTGCCCTATTTATTTTGAATTAGTATCACAAAATGATAATAGCCAAGGTAATTTTGTATTAGTTATTCTTATTTGAAATATAAACTTATATATTTTAATTTATGATTCAAAAATTTTTTCTAGAAACTGATGATAAACCATGGATAAAAAATAAATCTGTTTGGAGGTAAATAATATAACAGTATTTTCAACTATTTGAAACTAGATATACTTAATAAACAAAGTGAATGAAAGCAGTCTCCAGCACAGTTTTACAAGAAAGCAAATGTTTTTGACCATGTTAATCTTGCATTGTCAGGTTGACCTTCACAGTTTGTGTGCAACTGTTAAAACAAAGGAATTGCTGTCCACATATTAACAGTGTGACAGAGAGAGGTAGGGTTTAAGATTAAAGTTCTTAGTTCAACTTCCATGCAGGGGAGAAGGAATCTACATTTGAAAAGTTTATGACAGCATTTTTTCTTGTGGCATTATAAATTTCTAATTGTTCTTTGTGGGAGTTGATACGTAGGCAATGTGCACAGTCAAAACATACTGTACATGCAAGTCTGGGTTGAGGCAAATTATGCTAATGTGGCATTGGCCTGCCATTTTATGGTGGAAGTCTGAGGTTTTTTGAGGTGGATATTATATACAGTGGAAGACTGGCTGCCCTATACAAGGAAATTGACAGAAATAATAACTATTGATTAGCTTTCAGAAGTTTCTTGGTTTTCACCTTCATCTGCAATGCTACAGACCACCCACATATGCATCTTCAACCTAGTATGTATACTATTTCCCCTGTTAACATGCAGACAGCAATCCTCTTGTTTTAACAGCTGTGAAGGTCAGTTAGCCTGACAATGCTCATGTAACATCAGTTGAAAACATTTGCTTTCTTGAAAAATTGACTTGGAGATGGTTTTATTTGTTTAGTTTAATATAACAGTATACAGTCGACCCCCCCATAACACTGTTGATTATTCCATTTTATATGAATTCCATGTTGTATGAGTCACTTAGATTTTACAAATATGTGAGCCATTCACAGCGCGGCACATGTATTTGTAACATCTAAGTGACTTGCACAATATGGAATTCATATAAAACAGAATAATCAACAGTGTTATAGGGGGGTCGACTGTATTATTTTGTGTTTTATTTAATTATTCTCAAAGTTTAATATAAAAAAAATTTAACATTTTTTTATATTAAACATTTGAGAAAAAAATGAAGATTTATCACATTTTATATGCATTAAAATGATGCAGGTTTTAAACTAGTATTCAAAATAGTCAATGGCTGTAGGACTAGAAACTGAAAAACTGATAAAGCAAACATAAAATAATTAATGTATATTACATTAGGTTTAGAATTGTATATTCTCTGTACAATGATGATATAACACATGCTTAAATTTAGCTAGTCTTAATATAATCTTCATTTGCATTAATGTACACTAATTTACAGTATCAGTTTAGTAACATATGAACCTCTTAGTAAACACTGGAGGAAATACAATTCATCACACCAAAAAATCTGTCTATCTCCAAAACCGTAGCCTGATGAAGACCCAGATGGGGTCAAAAACGTTCACTGTTTTGTAAACACGTATCACTGGAGTTATAGAGTTATAAAGGTTTTTTGGTGTGATGAATAGTATCAGTTTAGTGTTGTGTGGCAAATGATATGATAGGCCTATTTAATTATTTGTATGATTTAATTAAAATATTTCAAAATATGTAGTAATTATTATTAATCCTTTCATCAAACGTTGTTTTCTTTTGTGTGCCAGTGTGCAATAATTTTCAGGAAAATTCTGTGTCCCAAAAACATTCTATATCTCTGGACTTGCATAGTAAACTTTGTACATTACAGTGTTATTCATTCCTTGTTATTTAACTCTCCCTTGATTGAATTGTAGTGAGTTGTAACATTCAGTTTCAGATGAATAGTAGTGATTTTTATTTTCTATTATTTTTAATATTATATAATGTTTTATTACTTTTACAACCTTTCTGATTGTTTTCTCTTGTTATTTGAACATTATCAAATACCAATTTTATTTTTAAAACAGAATGTTTGGTTTCCTACTAAATGTTTTAGTTTAATTTTTATTAGGTTCTAACTTATATTAATTTTTGTTTATTTTTAGGAGATTAATATGCAGTGTAATGTAGTATAGTGAAAATGAATGAAAATGATCACATTTGTAAAATATGATTATATATAAGGACTAAATTACAAGTTTAAAAAATAATTATAAGTGCAGAACATATTTCAGTTTCTTGCACATTTTGATAATCAATGCAGTAAGAAATTTGCAAATTTATATATTGTATTATCTAAAATTTTTCTTGTTAAATGATTGTGTGTGTATGTACATATGAAGATCTTGGGGATTTATAGTGTTAACCCTCAGAATCACGTTTCAGGTAATTGAATTTGAATGTTTGAAAAAAATCCAAAAATGAAAATTCCCAAAATGTTGATAGGGCTACCACATCTACAGGCAATGTTTGGAGAGCAAAAATATTAACACACAACTATTCATATGATTTTAGGACTTTTTTGAACATTCAAACTCAGTTACCTCAGAGATGTAATTCTGAGGGTTAGCACTATATGTCCTTGAGGGCTATACACATACATACAGTGGTGGACAAACTTCAAAGACAAGCAAAAATTCTACCTAAACAATTAACTTAATTAAAATTATTGGTTCAATAATTCATGTCCATATGTTTTAAAAAAGTAAATTAATAGGTTTATACAATAATGAAAGAATAGTGTTGGAATATTTCTTTCCAAAAAGTAGAAAACCAGGTAATTTATGTTGACAAAACTTTAAATACAACTGAAAAAATAAATGTAAATTTTCATATAAATGTAAATAATTAAGGATGTGTACAAAATCATCTGTCAAACATGTGAAAAGGGGTAAAACTGGCGTAGAGAGAATAAAGACGAATTGATATTTTATTGCTACAGTTGCAAAACTATTGTGCTGTAGCTACCAAATCAAGGAGTCATACTGTTGTATACAACTATATTAAAAAAGATGAGAAATACAACTCAAAAAAACAATGATGGAAGTCCTTGTAAGTTTAATGCAAGAGATGATAGGCAAATTTTGAAGGTTGCAAACAACAGTGTGATATCAGCATCAAACTTGTGAATCAATTAGAATTAAAAGTTCATCTACGTACTGTTCAGAGAGAGATAAAATTATCAGGATGAGTTAAAAAAAAAAAAGATATTGAAAAGAAAACTTTCCCTAACTAAAGAACATAAAACTGCAAGATTGACTTATGCATGTGATACAAAATGGCAATAGGTTATTTTCCAGATGAAAAAGTTCAATCTGGATGGTTCAGTTGGTCTGAACTATTATTTTCATTTTTTGTGCAAAAAAGAGAGGATTTTATATCGACAACAGATGGGTGGTGGTTCCATTATGGTGTGGTTGTCATTTCTTGCAGGGGAAAGTCTCCTATTGAATTAAAAAATGGACGAATGGATTCAAAAAAGTATCAGAAGCTAATTAAAATTACTTTGCTTCTAAATGTACGAAAATGAGCAGTCAGAAGGTTTTATTTTATGCAAGACAATGCATGTGTCCATTCATCTTGCACCACAAAAAGTAGGCTTCAGCAAAAATAGTCCAACTTTTGGATCGTTCACCTCAATCTCTAGATCTAAATCTGATCGGGAATATCTGGAGTGTGCTCTCAAGAACTGTATATGCTGATAGCAAACAGTACAGTTCAGTAAAAGACTTAAAAGTTGTAGTGGAGAAAGAATGGCATGCTATACTAACTTCCATACTCAAAACATATTATGAGTATGCCAGACTGCATTTTTGAAGTTACTGAAAAAAATGGAGAGTCCACAAGATTTTAATCTATTATTTGCAGTTATTTTTTTAATAAATTATGTTGTTTTCTACTTTTTGGAAGAAATATTCCAGCACTATTCTTTCATTATTGTATAAACCTATTAATTTACTTTTCGAAAGCATATGGACATGATTGACCCAATAATTTTAATTTAGTTAGTTGTTTAGGTGAGATTTTTGCTTGTCTTTAAAGTTTCATTGACCATTGTACACACATACAACTTGTAAACTATACAAATGCACACTATTATTATAAAAAGTTACAGCTCTCTTTTATTTTTTGTAATTATATCTTTATGCAGGATTCTGTTTATCATTATTGTGTACAGTAGACCCCCCTATAACGCTTAGATACGTTCCACGCTAACCGAATTNAGATGATGGTAAGTTATCTAAATATATTATCTATTTATAAATGAAATGCATTTAAAATGAGTTTAAATGTTTTTATTATAAAATCAGAAGCCAATATAATATTGTGGAAACAACAAAAAGATGACAGTTTCAGTTATATAGAAGAAACTAATCAAGATAAAGAACATTGGACAGCACTGAAAATTTTAAGGTAATTTTTATTAAAAAGTCACAAGTATTTCACATGTAATCATTGTAATCACATGTAATCATTGGTAATTACATAATTACCAATGATTGTAATATTTTAATTTTTTACAGTACACTAAAACAAATGTTTTGTAATTAAAAATAATTATGAGAACATAAAACAAAAATATCAAGATAGTATAGTTACATTTTAATATAGTCATATTTATGTTAAAGTTATTTAGAACAGCAATATTTTATCAACAATATAGTGTCCATTTTCACATCATACTATTTTATGAATCATTTATAAGAACATTAACATGTCTAAGAAACATGTTTCCTTATTTGAAATTGGACTATTGTTAGTTATTGGAATAATTTTGCATTTAGTAAATTATGAAGGTATATTTTCCAATCTTTATACAGGGATATTGTCAGAAATTTGAGTGTGGGTCACATACATAGCTCTGTTGGGCCCTGTTCCTCACTGAGCCACTCTGTTGTGGGTCTGGATGAATACCTAGTGGGCTTGATTTTTAAAAGACTCCCTTACTGTCTATTGGGCATAAAGACTCCAAAAAGAATCTCACGTGGCTTATGGCTTGCACATAGGTAGATAGACTACCATAAAAATGCAATAGCCTATGACCACTATCAACACATTAGTGTGCAAAAAACTGCCATACTGAGATTACAGTCTTTTGCATGTCACATGCAAGCTCATATGCAAACCTGTCATACACATAACAATGTTGAATAAAACAAAGACTGAACAAGAACAATAGTAAATTTGATTCTTCTTTATGTCAGGGCTGTTTGTGTAACCTAGTATTTGAGTCTGATCTGCTTTTTCTGTTTCAGTGATCAGCTGCTTGTGACATTTTTTTTTTATTTTACTTACTTTTAAACACTAGTTGGTTGGCAATTACGGGCAGCAGAGTGAGGGATGGAAGAGCATTTGTGCACTGTATGGCTACATTCCTGTGTTGATTTATCAGTGATGAATCAGATGTGTTTTAAGTCAAATTAACTTGCTGTTATTAATGATTAGAATTCAAATCTAATAAAAGTTTTATATTTTCTCATGAATTATTTGGATTGGAATTTTCAATTTTCCACCTACATCCATGTAGATCTAATCTGACTGTATGGTTGAAAATTGAACACAATTGTATATCATAATACTTGTTGCTGTTATCAAATTATGGTAAGATCATTAATAATTAGTATTTGAAGTAGGAATATAGAAGTAGTGTAAAACACTAGTTCTATATTTCAAACTAGTATTTTTAAATTTTCTAAAGGATCTTTTTACCTTCAGCTTTAACTTACAAATTTAACATGTATCTTATTTCCAGCAAACTAACAAAATTATCAGAACACACACAAAATTTAAGTAGATACACATTCTTTCCAATGAAGCTATTAACATTTTTATGTGAATATACATAAAATTATTTTAAAATGTCTAAATAAATACTTTTTTAAAAAATAATATGAAATAACCATATGCGTACATTTAAAAAGTATCTAAAATACTTTTACATTTGAAATTATAAATTATTGTTTATTTAAACAGTATCTTGTATGTATTTGATAGATAGATACTCTTGGTCACACCTGTTAAGACACTTTGATACATTTTGTTTATATATTTCCACATTATGCATTGACTTCCGACTAACCTACTAATTTTTTATTCCAGTAGATTTTATTATCTTATGTTGCAAATCTAGATAATGCTACATTTATTGTTTTTATGCAACATCTTTGTTTTTTTTTTTTTTTTAACTTTTCATTAAAATGTTCTCTGTGCATATTTAGAACTGTTCCCATGTGGTCTTTTGTGGGAATGTTGTATACTCCTGAAATTCTAGTTATTTCTTATGAGTGTTTTTATTATATATTGCAGCAGTACATTTGTATACAATGCTAAAACTTCTTAACTTTGCTGTTTTGGTTATGTATTTGTAAGCTTTTTATTATGTGTAATCACTTTTCATTGTTTTATCATTAGGTCTTGTCCTTAGTTTTAAGTCTTGGTTAATAAGGTGGTTGTCTATAATTTATAGTTGTAAACAATGGATTTAAGAAAAACATTTGATGTATCTTAATTCTTTTACTGTGTCTTGCATATATGTATAATGTGTAAATACACTTTTTATGAGAGCTGTGAAGAGAGCAGTCTTGTATGTCCTGTGATCATCTCAGATTGAGATTTATATAATGAATGAAATGTTTGTTTTTTAAACATATTAGTGCACACTTTTTCATTCTTTTGAGATACTTACAAATGAGGAGTTTGGGAAGGTAAGTTCTCCTTATTCATTCACAGTACTTTCTGGCAAAATTTTTCACATACTTCATGGATGGAAGTTGTCATAAAAGCATGTTGTGTTTCTATACCATGTATGTTGCAATCATATTTATTGTTTGTGCTACTGTTAAAACATCTATCATTTAGAAAAGTGTGTTTTCTGTTTTTAATTGTGCGGGGTAGCTAGCACCTGATAGCACATCATTAGATGCAGATAACTGTGTAACAGTGCATGAATTTTTATAATGTGCTTAAGCATCGACACAAAAACCTTTATAATGCAGTCTTTAATTCAAATTTTCTAACGTTTTCAGCCATTTTGAAAGGCCTTCATCAGGAACATAAAAATCAAATGATTCTTATTTTTAAACCAAAATTTGTTCTGGAACATTATAAAATTTTTTAATTTTCTTATATGCACTGGCTTGTATATAAATAAAATACCATCTATAATGGTATTCTGGTAGATACCACACTGTCTAGCTAGTTCATTGATGTGATCTAATTGTTTAATTCTGTCTTGCGGTTTGCTGCAGTGTGTGTACACTCTATAAGTACCTGGAATGCTGCTATTTTATAATATGCCAGGTTGTGGGAGTTCCATGGTATAAACAGTGGATTATATGTCGCCTTTCTGTAAACTTTTGTTGCAATTTTTCCTCCTTTCTCTATTTCTATTGCTTTGTCTAGAAAATGCATACTTTTGTTATTCACTTGCTCTAGTTTGAGTTCCTAGGCCAAACTTGTTGAAATTGACATCTCTGATAAATTGTTGATGTCTGGTTTTTCTTTCCATATAATCAATACGTCGTCAACACAGCCTGCATATGTATACTACCATGTGTGCTGCATATTTTGGTAAGATTGTTTTTTGTAAAGTCCTTAGGACCATCTCACATAATGCCCCTGCAATGGGGCTTTCCATTGCCACTCCTATATGTTGTGTGTATATAATTCCATTAAGTTAAAGATCGATGAATATAGTGTGCTTCTGGTTATGGAGATCTCAATTTTTTTGGAGATTTGTCACATTGTTCTGGAGTTTAATTATGAAATTTTTCTCAACTGCCTAAAGAAGTAAACGTCACATGGTAGACATAGTGATATACATTTGGAACTTTTACATTCTAATTAGGCCTATAATTTGCATCCACAGAAAAATAGTCATAATTGCTCTTATCTGCCAATTTCGTGAATTGTAAGTAGAAGACAATGTAAGAAAATGATTTGACTAAATATAGTGATAGTTCAAAAATTATGTGTGAAAGTTATGTGTGATATAGTTAAAGTTTATGGTGAGAAATAAAAGGTAACCAAATTAAAAAAAAAAAAAGAAAAAAAATTTCAGTGGCCATGAAACATGAGTATAGAGTCCATGAATGAGTGCTCTACCTCCTGTGATTACAACTAACACTTACCAACTAGGAAACATTTGAAGTATTTCAAGTTTTAGTTGAAGTCAGAAAAATGCTCATTTTTCTTAATTCAAATTGATAGTCACAAAAACTTTTTAGACACATTATACATACATGAAAATTATTTGTTGAGTATCTACAGATTTTCTAGATTTGAAAGCTATTTATCATCATAATATAAAATTATGAATAAAAGATAATTTTAGGTTATAGTGAATAGTGGAACCTATGGCTTTACAGGGGATATTTTTTAGCACCCAAAATAATTTCCCAAAGCTCATTGAAATCCTTGAAATATTATTTTTCAGCTTCCTTGTCAGAAGAAAACAGAGTTAGAGTGGAAACTTCTTGAATGTCCAGCTCTGATTTAGCCCCACATGCATTTTTCACTTGTTTGGGTTAATACATTAACATCTTGGAGGTAAATATATCTCAAGTGATGAAGTTGAATGTGATGTGTGCACTTGTGGCTGGACAGCATATCCAAGACTTTTATGCTGGGATTGAGGCTTTGATAAAACAATGGAATACATGCATTAATAAATGTGGGATTATTTTGAGAAATGAAGAAATTTTGGAAATTATTTATTATTTAAATCTTATGGAATTATGGAAATTATTTATTATTTAATTCTTTTTAAAAGTCATTTGTGACTTTCCTTTGTACTTTAATATGAGATATTCATCTATTATCTCCAAACAACTGAGATTAAATTATTTTACATTTAGCATGCTGAAGTCAGTTTTAGCATATATCTAATTTTAAAACAAATTATTTTTTTAATTATAGAGGACATCTTGATGATGTCTGTGATCTGAGTTGGTCAGCTAACAGTAACTTTTTGATATCAGGCTCTGTTGATAATACTGCCATTCTTTGGGATGTTCAGAAAGGTATGAATGCATTTTGTTTTAGAAAATAATTTAAAGTACTAATTATAAATTAACATATATATAAGCGTCTCAATAACTCGATGTATTATTGATCATCCAACAATTAGCCAAATTAATGTGGCAATATTATGCTACAATTAATAATTAGAATAATAATTCTAATTATTGCCTGATTAATTTGGCTGATTGTTGGATGCTTATAAATTAACCTTTTTACCTTATAATTAGATTTATAATTAAGATTAATTGTATAATTTTGTTTTCTTAGGTAAAAACGTTGGGCTGTTGACAGATCCTAAAGGTTTTGTACAGGGAGTTACGTGGGATCCTGTTCATCAATACATTGCTACAATAAGTTCTGATAGGTAAACATGATATTTTCTGAAATGTGGAATTGTTTTAAAAACAAAAATGTTATTAAAATTAAATAAATGAATATTTATTAAATTGAAATATTAATTTATAAAGTATACTAAATAATAAGTGAAATTACTATTTTAAAAAAAAATTACTAAGTTAATCATTGACAAAATTTTGAAATTTAGTTATAGTTGATATACAGTTGTGACTGAGAAATACAGATGTTTGGTGTTCATTATTATTAATACCTTTTATTATTATATGATATTCCTTATTTTTTATTTAATTTATGCATAAAAATATTTTTTCCTACATGTATTTTCCATAATACCAGTTTACAAACTCACTGATATCTGAAATTTTTTATGAAATGAAATAAATTTTTTCTGTTTTATATTTGAGAGTTATATTTGAGATTACTCTCAAATATAAAACAGAAAAAATTTGTCCACATAGATCTTCTGTGATTTTAAATTGGGATGAAGTCACCATCTAAGGTTTTGTATACACATTACATTAGTGTCACTAGAAAGTGAAACTCCTCACAACTTTTTATGCTTACTTTACAGATATTTGATGTGTGCCTCACATGTCTTGTGGCAGACATGAAGAGGATATTCACCACTTGCACCAAATGTGTAGCATATCCACTATGATGGACTCAATACATAGCAGTAATGCATTATTGCAACTGTTGCAGATTTTCAGGCAATAAGAATGTGTACCAGTACACTCATATCTTTGATGTAATCTCAAAAGAAGTTGCCGACAGTGAGATCGGTGACCTGGGAGGCCATATCCAGAAGGCATTGTTGGTTAGATCAAGTACACACAATAAATAGGTTTGACAGTTGTGCATTCAGATGTTTTTGAACATAGAGATACCATTGTGATGATGATCCATCTTGCTATAATAGGTATTTATCACCCTTCTCATCCAGTTATGGAAACAGCCTCAGAGTCATGCATGTCCAGATAATGAGTCAATAGTGGTACCATCCCAAAAGAAAAATGGTTCATACACTTTCTTCTTCAATAGGGTGCAAAAAATATTGACTTTTGGGGTGTTGTATTTAACTTCCATAACAACATGAATCTTCACTATAAATCCTGACATTGTTCTTGTCAATTTTCCATTGATGTAGAAGGTTGTCTTGTCACTAGATTAGATGTAACTAGATTAGTATATGCCTGTATTTGTAATCATTAACTAGAAATTATAAATAAATATTCTTTTTTTAATTATAAAAATTGGCTTAAATTTTATATTTTACATACTTTTTCACATAGATCTGCAACAAATCCTGATTCTCTGATGAATTATAAACAATACAAAATCAAAAAAAAATTTTTTGATTTTGTTTAATATACTGTATAGTGATTTAAATTAATAATTGAATTTTTAACCGCATGATAAACAATTTTTTCATAATTTTTTTATATCTGGAATTTGGTTTATTACAACAGAAATTGAATCATTTCTGTAATGTTATCCAGTGGAGATATATCTTCAGCATCATTCTCAGATGCAAGTTATTGTTTGTTAACTGAACTTGAAACTTTTATCTTATAGTATTATATAAAATATTAATCAAATAAAAAATTATAGTTTAATATAATATGATTTTGTGAATAAATTATATGTACAGTTTATAAAATTATGTAAAATATGACAGTATAATATTAAATTTTATTTAAAAATAAAATTTATTTTCTGTAGGGCAATGCGTATTTATAATCTGAATAATAAGCGTGTAATGTATAAAGTTCAGAAGACTGTAATTCCCTCTGAGAAGAATAAGGTAAAAATAGTCTATTATAAAAAAAAGTTAATAATAATATAAATCAATATTATATTACATTGATTTTAGGGATCAAATAAATCAACACGAATGTTCTATGATGACACATTGAAATCATTTTGTAGGCGTCTTACTTTTTCTCCAGATGGGGAATTACTAATTGTACCTTCAGGTATAGTTGAGCAAGATGATGGAAAATTTATTAACACCACTTATGTATTTTCACGTCTTTCGTTGAACAAGTAATAATTATTTTTTATTGTAAATTATTAATAAAATTTTTTATTAATCTGAAATAATGAATAATTGTCTCAGACCTGTTATGCATCTTCCGACTGGTGATAAGTATACCGTTGCTGTTCGTTGTTGCCCTATTTATTTTGAATTAGTATCACAAAATGATAATAGCCAAGGTAATTTTGTATTAGTTATTCTTATTTGAAATATAAACTTATATATTTTAATTTATGATTCAAAAATTTTTTCTAGAAACTGATGATAAACCATGGATAAAAAATAAATCTGTTTGGAGGTAAATAATATAACATATTTGAAACTAGATATACTTAATAAACAAAGTGAATGAAAGCAGTCTCCAGCACAGTTTTACAAGAAAGCAAATGTTTTTGACCATGTTAATCTTGCATTGTCAGGTTGACCTTCACAGTTTGTGTGCAACTGTTAAAACAAGGGAATTGCTGTCCACATATTAACAGTGTGACAGAGAGAGGTAGGGTTTAAGATTAAAGTTCTTAGTTCAACTTCCATGCAGGGGAGAAGGAATCTACATTTGAAAAGTTTATGACAGCATTTTTTCTTGTGGCATTATAAATTTCTAATTGTTCTTTGCGGGAGTTGATACGTAGGCAATGTGCACAGTCAAAACATACTGTACATGCAAGTCTGGGTTGAGGCAAATTATGCTAATGTGGCATTGGCCTGCCATTTTATGGTGGAAGTCTGAGGTTTTTTGAGGTGGATATTATATACAGTGGAAGACTGGCTGCCCTATACAAGGAAATTGACAGAAATAATAACTATTGATTAGCTTTCAGAAGTTTCTTGGTTTTCATCTTCATCTGCAATGCTACAGACCACCCACATATGCATCTTCAACCTAGTATGTATACTGTTTCCCCTGTTAACATGCAGACAGCAATCCTCTTGTTTTAACAGCTGTGAAGGTCAGTTAGCCTGACAATGCTCATGTAACATCAGTTGAAAACATTTGCTTTCTTGAAAAATTGACTTGGAGATGGTTTTATTTGTTTAGTTTAATATAATAGTATACAGTCGACCCCCCCATAACACTGTTGATTATTCCATTTTATATGAATTCCATGTTGTACGAGTCACTTAGATTTTACAAATATGTGAGCCGTTCACAGCCCGGCACACGTATTTGTAAAATCTAAGTGAC